TGTAGATGGCACTCTATATCGCCATATGCCTACATGGGGATGGAGCACGCCATCTGGGTATATTTTTTTCAATTACGTGGCCCTAGACGGTTCCACATTTTCACAAAATTTCGTCCTATTACTAGGCAGCAAGGAAAGTCCCAAGAGGCGCTATGTTCTTTTTATTTCTCCAAGCAAACTTACCATTTATTTAACATGCTGGTTACTCGGGTCGGTCGAACGTTGGGCATGCCTGCAAATGATTTACGAGAAGACGAGAATGCCCAATGCCAGACGTCGCTTCAACTCATAAATTATTATCGACTAAACAATGTATTGTCAATATATACAGGGAGTAACAAAAAGGATATAACATGAAAATAAACATCTTTCACGATTGAATATGGGCCGAAATATGAAAAATTTGGACCTTCCATATAAAATTGCCGATCAACTAATTGAATTACAATGAGAGGTTTAATTTTCTTTATCGTATTTTGACCCATGTTCAATGGGGAAAGTAATAAATATATTATCAACTTTGCGAATGACCCCACCGGGAATTGACCCCGGATCCTTCTGAGTAACAGGCAGTCGTACTAACCACTGCGTCACATTGCCTGTCGATTCAGTGCCGCCTAGTATAATGTGTGGTCGTTGACGGCGAACTTTTTGCGAGAGCACAAAAGTGCTTCCTGCGCTGAGAGCGCTTCATTTACATGAGAATGGGCCGGGCTGACCTGGAGCCTGGATTATGCAAGCATTTCGACAACTCGTAATCGGTTGTTGATGTGCCTACAATAAGGCTGTCCAAATAGGCCATATTTGACAGCTGTCAAAACCATGTTCATGCTATATGGCCTAAGGTTCTTTTTTTCTTTGTTTACATGTCTTCTAGTATGGGTTCGACAGCTGTCAAATATGGGATATTCCAAAGGCCGTACTTTAAGAGTGACAACAACTAAAATACCTATATTCGAAGCGTAGTCTATATGTAAGTGATCATCCATTATCTTTTCCGCGGGTGTCGAAAGAAGCGACTAAGGGATTTGAGAGTTGATGTGTATTCCAATTTTAGGCAACAGTCTGACAACCTGTCGCTATAGATTGTGATACACAGTCTTTTGAGTGACTCTTTAACTTTTGTCAGACGCGTTGTGGTGACTAGAGCCGTTGACGCTCTGTCTACCCCACAAAGGATATAAAAAGTGCTTCCTATGTTTAGAGCGCTTCATTTACATGAGAATGGGCCGGGCTGACCTGGAGCCGGGATTATGCAAGCGTTTCGACAACTCGTAATCGGTTGTTGATGTGTCTAAGAGTGTACTGCGCAACTAAAATATATTAGCAGTAAGCACTCGTGCACTGTGTGGACATAATTTGCCATTGATTATATATTTGTGACTATATATTGAGAAAATATTTGTGACTTGTGACCGTCGTAATTTTGATACGGCGACAGGTTTTTATACGAAATTTTGTAATTTTCGTTTGTCTGACAGTCGAAACCGGAAAAACATCGGAAAATCCTGTAAATCATTTAGAGTGCCGCATAGTACACAGTCTTGGCTCTCAAACTTTTATCAGACGTGGTGTAAATGGCAATTTTTACAGCCGTTTATGCTATGCCTACTTCGCATGCGATATAGGCGTAATATACAGGGTGTTAGGGACGGTGTAACGAAAACTTTGCAGGGATGATCAGACCATCAAACTGAACAACTTTTACTATGGAGGCAATTGCGGGAAACGAAAAAATTTTTCCGACCTCCCATACAAAATTCACAATCAGCTGACTGACTTTGTATGGTTTATATATCGTTTCCCACCATTGGCTCCATAGTAAAAGTTGTTCAGTTTCATGGTCTGAGCACGCCTGCAAAGTTTTCGTTACACCGTCCCACACCCCGTATGTATGTATGTAAATCATTTGAATCATCTTAGTGTGCCGCCTAGTATGCTGTGTGGTCGTTGACGGCGAACTTTTTGCGAGAGCACAAAAGTGCTTCCCGCGCTGAGAGCGCTTCATTTACATGAGAATGGGCCGGGCTGACCTGGAGCCGGGATTGTGCAAGCATTTCGACAACTCGTAATCGGTTGTTGATGTGCCTACAATAAGGCTGTCCGAATAGGCCATATTTGACAGCTGTCAAAACCATGTTCATGCTATGGCCTAAGGTTTTTCTAGTATGGGTTTGATATCTGTCAAATATGGCATATTCCAAAGGCCGTACTTTAAGAGTGACAACAACTAAAATACTTATATTCGAAGCGTAGTCTATATGTAAGTGACCGTCCATTGCCTTTCCTGTGGGTGTCGTAAGAAGCGACTAAGGGATTTGAGAGTTTATGTGTATTCAAATTTTAGGCGACAGGCTGACAACCTGTCACAATATGTAGTGATACCCAGTCTTCTGAATGACTCTTTAACTTTTGTCAGACGTGTTGTGGTGACTAGAGCCGTTGACGCTCTGCCTACCCCGCAAGTGATATAAAAAGTGTTTCCTGCGCTGAGAGCGCTTCATTTACATGAGAATGGGCCGGGCTGACCTGGAGCCGGGATTATGCAAGCATTCCGACAACTCGTAATCGGTTGTTGATGTGCCTACAATAAGGCTGTCCAAATAGGCCATATTTGACAGCTGTCAAAACCATGTTCATGCTATGGCCTAAGGTCTTTTTTTCTTTGTTTACATGTCTTCTGGTATGGGTTTGACATCTGTCAAATATGGCATATTCCAAAGGCCGTACTTTAAAAGTGACAACAATTTAAATACCTATATTTGAAGCGTAGTCTATAATATTAAGTGATCATCCATTATCTTTCCCGTGGGTGTTATAAGAAGCGACTAAGGGATTTGAGAGTTGATGTGTATTCCAATTTTAGGCAACAGGCTGACAACCTGTCGCTATAGGTAGTGATACACAATCTTTTAAATGACTCTTTAATTTAGTCAGACGCGTTGTGGTGACTAGAGCCTTTTACGCTCTGCCTACCCCGCAAGGAACATAAAAAGTGCTTTCTGCGCTGAGAGCGCTTCATTTACATGAGAATGGGCCGGGCTGACCTGGAGCCGGGATTATGCAAGCATTTGACAACTCGTAATCGGTTGTTGATGTGTCTAAGAGTTGCACTACGCAACTAAAATACCTATACAAGGTGTTACAAATAAAGACGAAAGAAGGTCAACGTAGTCAAAGAAACAGTACAAGTTTCCCCATGGAACATAGATCGTCACATGAAAAAAAAAACATACTAAATTGCCGATCAGCTGGTTTGTGTTACTATAAGAGGTCCAATTTCTTTTTTCATATTTCGCCCTGTGTTCCATGGGGAAAGTTTTTGATTTTCATGAGCACCTTGACCTCATGTTAAGCTTTATTGTTTTCTGTAGCACAGTGTATTCGTAGCGTAATATGTGAGTGAGTGTCCACATCTTTCCCTTAGGTGTCATAAGAAGCGATTAAAGGATTTGAGAGTATCAACTCTCAAATCCAATTTTAAGCAACAGGCTGACAACCTGTCGCTATAGGTAGTGATACACAGTCTTTTGAGTGACTCTTTAAATTTTGCTAGACGTGTTGTGGTGACTAGAGCCGTTGACGCTCTGCCTACCCCGCAAGTGATATAAAAAGTGCTTCCTGCGCTGAGAGCCCTTCATTTACATGAGAATGGGCCGGGCTGACCTGGAGCCGGGATTATGCAAGCATTTCGACAACTCGTAATCGGTTGTTGATGTGTCTAAGAGTTGTACTACATACCTTTTCCCTTGCGGGGTAGGCAGAGCGTAAACAGCTGTAAAAATCGACCATTTACACCACGTCCGACAAAAGTTTGAGAGTCATTCAAAAGTAACTGTGTATCACCATAGTGACAGGTAGTCTGCCTGTCGCCTAAAATTTCAATACACGACAACTATAAAGTGTTATACTTCGCAACGAATGTGTTTGAAACTTTTGTCAGACGTGGTGTGAATGGCTGTTTTCTACAGCCTTTTACGCTCTGCCTACCCCGCAAGTGATATAAAAAGTGCTTCCTACGCTGAGAGCGCTTCATTTACATGAGAATGGGCCGGGCTGACCTGGAGCCGGGATTATGCAAGCATTTCGACAACTCGTAATCGGTTGTTGATGTGTCTAAGAGTTTTACTACGCAACTAACAATTATATTATATGTAGGTTTGGCAAATAAAATACCTTTATAGGGTGAAATTTTACTAGTAACCGATAGCGAAAACTCAGAACCGGCTGATCATAAGGAACTTAGATCTTAACTTTCCCCAAGAAACGTAGGTCGAAATATGAAAAATTTTGCCCTCCAATAATAACTGAATCTGATTGACAATTTTGTATACCTATTAGGTTAATTTTTCAAATTTCTGCCTTTGTTCTTTGGGGAAAGTTGTTCCTTATCACCAGCCGGTTCTGAGTTTTTGCTATCGGTCATTACGTCATTAGTAAAATTTCAGCCAATATTCGTAGCGTAATCTGTGCATGATTGTCGTAAGAAGTGACTACAGGATTTGAGAGATGATGTGCATTTAAATTTTAGATGACAGGCTGACAACCTGTCACTGGTACTGTACACAGTCTTCTGAATGACTCTAAACTTTTGTCACACGCTGTGGGAATGGCTGTTTTTACAGCCACTGGCGCTCTGCCTGTCCCACAAGAGATATAGGCGTGATAAATGTACGTGCGTAAGGTACCTACCCATTAAATATTAATTAACTAAAATGAAGAGAAGAAGAACCACAATATAAATCACAAATTTAGCAACTTACTCAAAATAGACCCCTAATTGCTTAACACTGGAGTGTTATAAATTATAACGATAATTAATTAAAGAAGACATGTCAAAACTCTTTAATTACTTCCTCTCGGCAATTTGAAGTTAATAAACAGAGTAGGTAAAATAATTTATGTAATAATTTTGGCGGTAAGTCTAAGTATAAAGACTTATACACAGAATTCTGCTCGTATTTCGATTGATTTAAAGTGAGAAAATTGAAAAATTCATTAGCGATAGCCGGGCCTTGAACCCGGGACCGTGGGGTAGCGGCCTACCTGCTCTGCGAACTGAGCTACGGGCGCCTGGCGGACCCTTACAACCATTGCTTACAAACATTTCTAAGTCTTTGCAGCAATATCTTATCTGGATTTTAGGGACTTAAATTTATTCTTTCCAAAACTGTTGAGTATCGTTTTGCCTTGTTGTGCCATTAATTATTCTAATACCTACCTACAAATAACCGTAAGAGGATCCAATTAGTTATTAGTTTAGGTATCTAGTGGTTTGGTATTCGTGTGATGCCGGTTTAGAATAGCATCACCCTAATTATATCCGTGGGTGTAATAAAAAAAGCGACTAACGGATAATCTTCAGGGAATGGAATAGGCAGCAGCGTTCGCAAATCTACCTGCAAAGCGAGGTAAGTATGGCAATACCCTCCCGAATAGTGAGAGGCCCGTGTCCAACAGTGGACTGTTGTTTGTCATCTATTTCGGAAGGAATCCAACACAATAGGAACGTCAGTTAAGTCTATAATTTAATTGAATAAAATGTGGCAAATTACGTACAAAATCTTTGATCTTAAATTCAACTTATCCATTTAACGATTGAACAAACATAGATTTAAGTAAACATCACATTTAGCTTAAAAAACGTGAAATTCAAATAAAGTACACACAAATGCTTGCTACCAGCATCATACCTATAGGTAGCAGTTACAAATACCTCACAACACTCATGTTGTGCAGATGCACAAAAACCATGTTCAAATATTTTTTAATAATTTAGGAATATAAATCACTCACTCCACATGCAAATTCTAGTAATAAATCTCGTTAAATAAACAATATGAGGAGGCATTTTACTTAGAATTACATTTATGTGGAGCTAATTCGTACAATTTCCACTCTCTCACACGTTGAGCTTATAAAGTGCAGACTCGACGGTGTTTTAATAACCCTACTCGGTGAGGAGAAAAAAATACAGAGACATGTGAATAAGGTAAGCACAAATAGTTTTTTCCTTTCATAGGACTTTGAAAACATTTTGATACCTATTTATACAAGCCAAATGTAATTATTAAAAAACAAAAACCTGACTGCTATTTTACGCTCAAAATTCGCCATTTTGAATGTAAACCTAGCCAGTGTTACTCGCACTGCTGAATCGAATCTAACGAAGACATCTCATTTATCAACATCCGTCAAGCCGTTTAGGATGTAGCCCATGAAAAAAATTTACAAGTCCACATACATACATGCCCACATACATACAGACCCACATAGGTACATATTTTTGAAAAACATAACCTTTCTTCAGAGGAAATCGAGGTAAATAACAATAGTTGTTAATAGTCCATTCAAAATCATAATGTCATAACCAGCCTAAGCGGGAAGCGAAGTTACGATGGTCGTGTAGTATCTAAACATTGGGACTAGCGTAACTTGGCCTCCCGTTTAGTCTGATCAGTGATCATGTCATTTCATGACCCTATGATTACAAATGGTCTACACCGATGCCACATCTTCTGTTTCCTTCTAATCACAATGTTCTGGTCTTGTTTGCGACGCGGCCATTAAGATGCTAATTATTTGCCGACGAGTCAAACCCCCAAAATGCGAGTTTCAAACGCTGCGGAGCCATAAGTCTGAATAATGACTTATTGTTCAAATATTTCATGGGTGAGCTACGAAACGCTTATAAATTAGCATCACACCATGTCTACCTGCGGTAGTTATAGAAGCGACTAGACTAGGTTATGGATACATCCAAGGAATAGGCAACAGCGTTTGCAATGATTTCGTTATCAATCTAACGTTTAACTTTTAGATTCTTGAAGGTTAAGTCCAAATGTTTATAACTGATTATGGGCCTAGATTCACAAGGGAGATTTTTCGCTTTTTCTTGTATGAAAAAAGATAATTGTAAAAGTGAAATTTGGTTATACTTTGATTTCACGATCGCTTTGTAATAAGTATATATCTAACTCCGTATTTTTAACGAGAAGTGTTCTCTTTATTTTAATAACTTATTATTCCTTTGACATAAATTTAACCAATTAATAAAACTAAGTGACGAGAAAATCTAAGAAATAGTAAAAAGAGAATAGGAGATCGAGAAATTGTCTGAACACGTTCGTAGCATAGTAGCGCTATTGCTACGAAAGTAGCAAGTCCTTCGTTTCGTAGCTCTTTGCTACGTAGACAAATGTTTGCAAAAGCGATAGCAAAATCACGTTACTTCCACTGTGAACTACGCAGTTTATTAATTAAGCTGACACTGTGTTCTGATTTATTCCAATTTATGACTAGAAATAATTTAAATCAAAACAGATTTTCTTAGAAAAGAACAAAATATGATAAAATTAAAACAGTTACTTTTTTCTGAAAATGGGAAATAAGTGAATAATTTTGATGAAGAACTTATTGTTACGTGGGCGGGTTTGTTCCTTAACTTTTGAAGCCAATATAAAAATTGAATTTTAGATAACTAGACGCTGCCCGGAGTACATACATACCTAAAACACAAAAATATGATTTTAGTATTTCGACTCATATTCTTTCGGGAAAGGTTGTTCTGTTTTATTGACACTGCATACGATATTTTCAGTACCTGATTCATAGAAAAAGGGGTTATTCCCAGTATTGACATTATTAGGTTCGTCCTTTATTTTACTAGGTATTTAATTTGTTTGATTCCGAAGCTGATCTTAGCGCAGTGGAAGCAAATTAAAGTTATCTTAAAATCTAAAACTAAATGGTCGATCAGCCTCGGAACAACATTTGACTACGATTCGTAGTGCTCTTTACTATAGCTAAATAAAATAAATTTAATGAGAGAATTTTGTTCCGGAAAGTTTCCGGCCGAGAAATTCTTGTTTCCAAAATCTACTTAAACAGGGCCCAGCAACGAATTGCTTACCGAGCGAACGATGACGCCGTTTCTTTGTGAGTTTAAGTATGACAGGAATCAGGTATTCAGGATATTTGAGGAGCACAGGAATAGGGAATAACCTAAACTCACGGCACCGGAACATCCGCTCGTTCTCGAACTCCTTTCCTCCAATTTGCACTATAGTTCACAGTTCGACATCACATAATGTTTTTTAACACAAAATAACTAAAAGATTTCTCTCCGAATGAGAAATCGGCCCCGTTGGCCTCCAATCATTTATAATTAAAATACGTAGCATTTATAATTAAAATTCGCATCAACGATGCGGGCGACGGCAGAGGACGTGACAATGACAGATCAGTGTTGCCAGCACCGCGCGCCCATTTTATACGAAAACTAAACATAATTTAAAATAGGGTTTTATTAAGAAGTCTGGATAAATAATAAAAATCTTGTGTTTGCAATTGAAGGGTTGACTAAGGGCTCTAATAAGGCTCTAATTAATTGTTCCCTCCTAAATAAATACCTAGCTAAGCTTCTTGGAGATGAAAGCTGAGACCTATCTGTAACAAACGATATTCTATTGTATTTCAGACAGTAAGTCATTTAGTTTCTATATTTGCTTCTACATGTTGTTTTAGCCGAATCTTGTTGCTGACAAGCAGTGTTATAGCGATTTAACTATTAATTCTCTGATAAGAATATGCCGTGAGAAGGTTCAAAAAATGCGACTTATAAAAAAATTACTGCAAATATTTTAGGAATAGACAAGTTCACGAAACAGAACAACGGAACTCTGACACCAGGGTTCATCAGGTCGTTGAACGACTCGGTGTCCCACACGAAAAGAAAGAGTCAAAATAAAAAAGAACTTGGCCTTCCCATACACAATGTGTTGGCCAGGCCAGGTCCTAAATTTTTTTGATATTGCGACCTATATGTCCAGGGGACAGTTATTCAGTTTCGTGGACTGGTTCACCCCTTAAAACATTTGCTGTATTTTTTTTTACTTCCTGTATACCTCTATTTCAAAAACACAGCAATTAAGGCGAAACACTTCAGTTAATCGCCCTTAACTGGTCGTTAGCTGCAACAACCAACAAAAAGGATAATCCTATTTAGATAAATTACGCAATCCAAACTTTTAATTCAAACTCACCTTACTTAATTCAAACCAAATTAAATACTATAACCTTTTCTACTTAAGAGGATCTCTGAGGAAACTGGCGCCGCCATCATTTGAAATTTGTGACTCAACAAAAACGCAATTGGAAAAGAATATTGCGGGCACTGAAAAATTAAAGACAGTAATTAAGTATAACAGTAAGTACAGTAAATACCTACCACAACCTTAGATTTTCTCAAGTCCACTTTAACTCATGTCTATTTGATTTTGTAATCTATTCTTCAATACTACTTTAAGAAATTTCAATAAATTAATCAAATACGCAAAGTATACTCACATTTACCTTAGTCAGGACCCACACGCAACGTCTATTGATGCGTATTTTTGGCGCAGCGCTAAAAATAGGTAGAAACTTGTTTTAATGGCTTGCCTTAGTAAAACCAGACGTATGTATAAAATAACCCCAACACTGCATTTTAACCTAACAATCTTTCTAATAAATGGATTTGTTTGCATTTTTTTAAATTATAGTGGCACTAGTTTCAATAGGAACCCTTTATCAGGGCTACAAATCAAGGCTATCAGCGTTTAGTGGGGGCGAACCTTTCCGGCTTAGTGTCCCTTCAATTTAGAGCGAATTAACATATTTCGACGAAAATTGGGGCCGAATTAAGTTTAAATAAGGCTTGGCCTCAACTGAAGTATAAGGAAGATGGAGCAAATAGAACAAACAAATGATACCAAAATATGTTCATCCCAAAACAAGATGCACATCGCCAGCTAATCCACCTACCCATTTAGGGGCTAACTGATGCTGATTTTTCTTACAAATACTAGGAAAAATTAGTACCTACAGGTGGAGTTTGCTGGCGATAGTACTACTCTTATTGACAAGAAAATTACAATCTGTTGAAACTGTTAAAATAACACGACATGTTTAACGTAATATGATAATCATCTTTTAGCAGTAGCAGCAGTATCTTAATGTATTTATTGAACCAATAAATATTTTATCATAATCCCTGCAATAATAATTTAATTCAGTTTTCCAAGATACAGGCA